TAGACGCCACCTTAGCTGTATACCTCTAAAAAGACATAACGCTAGTACATTTCCTGAAAGTAATTATAATCCCACTAAAAAAACAGTGAATAGTGAAGCCATTTTTATAATCGCAGTGAACGGCAACACGATCATCGGCGGCAACGTGACATCGGCGACGTCTACATTTGTTTTCGAGATTACAAGCTCGTCATCGCTTCAGTGCTCCAGGTGGAACGGACTAAATCACATGCTCCCGACGGCGCTGATTGAAATCAGTCTTTCGCCTTCAACCACCACCATGGATTCAGCGCCACTTGAAAGAAAAGCGGCTGCATCTTTCGACTTCACCGGTGGACCAGGCAGCAACTGCCCAACCAAGATGCCTAAGTTTTTTGTGATATCGTTACAGGTTAGTGATTTCAAATACCTTGCTATCAAAAGCAACAATTTGTGCTTATTCTTGCTGCCTGGCCCCAAGGCTTGTTTTGCGTTGTTCATAGAATGTCTCAGCATTTTCAGTGTATCTGTTTCTACGTATGTTGAAAGTGTTAGTTACAGTCTGCTTTTGCTCCTTGGCGGGGACATTGAATCTAACCCCGGGCCCATGACCAAAGTCCAAGAAGAACAACTTAATAAAGTGCTTGAAATCGTTCAGACGCTACAGACAGGTCAGAACAATATCCTCCAGGAAGTTCGAGATTTAAAACTAAAGCAGAGTACGACCGAGGAATCAGTGAATGCCCTCATAACACGCGTTAATCGGGTGGAAAACGAACTTTCGAAGTTAAAAGAGTCCGGCGTTACAATAAGTACGACTTCCGATCCGCAACTAACATCCGCCGTTAACGAGATATCTCAGCTTAGGGCGCGCTGCGATGACGCAGAGAGCAGAGCCCGTAGGTCAAATCTTATCTTTTTTGGTATTCCTGATACGGACAAAGAAACATGGGCACAATCAGAAAAGGCTGTTATTGATGTGTGTCTCGAAAGATTAGGGTTGGAACTTGCATCCATCGAAAGAGCGCACCGTTTAGGAAGGTTTAGTCAGCAAAAACATCGGCCAATCATAGTAAAATTGTTCTCCTACAAAGATAAGGAGATGGTGCTTTCTAACGCGCACAAATTCAAGGGAACACACCTTTCTGTGAGTGAAGACTTTATACCATCCGTGCGTCTTGCTCGAAGAAAACTACTCCAATTTGCAAAGCCTCAAGGCCTATCTTTCAAGCTGCGTTTCGATAAGCTAGTTATGGGAAATAAATGCTACATATATACATTTAGCACTGACTCTGTGAACGAGTTAAACTTCCGTGAGCCTTATCAAACCTCAGCTGAACATGGAGCTGGAATTTCAAACCAAGCATTACCTCTTCCCATGGTTAGTCCATCTGGTAGTAACCCCAGAATTTCCGCTCCTGCATCAGTTTTGCCATAACAATCAGAGAGGAGTTACAGAGCCAATAATGACATCTGTGTGAATAATATTTCTGTTATTTTTACTAACATTAGAAGCGTTATGCATAAACGCCAGGATTTATCGTCAATTGTCGACTCGTCTAACGCGGACATTATTGTTCTCACCGAGACCTGGTTGTCAAGTAAAATACGCAATAGTGAAATATTAAGCTGTCAGAAACGTTTTAATATGTACCGTCATGACAGGGACGAAAGAAACGGTGGCGGTGTGTTAATCGCGGTAGCTGATAACATACAAACATTTCACATCAACATCTCTTCTCAACTTGAGATAGTATGGGTGGGTCTAAGTATAAGAAACAAGAAATATATTTTCGGGGTGTGTTATCGTCCCCCAAATGCAAGTGCCACTTTTGTCCCAAAGATTCATGATGCGATCAGTGCAGTCATAGCTCGTTTTCCAAGTGCACCCTTGATACTGTTCGGTGATTTTAACTATCCTTCCATAGATTGGTCAGATGTGCGTACTTCCGTTAATCACTTTTCGTCAGAGTGCAATGAGTTTGTAAACATGTGTCTAGATTTTAATTTTTCACAAATTGTTGTGCAACCTACACGTGTTACAGCAACAACCGCATCTTTGTTAGACCTCATTTTAACAACATCACCCGATCTTATCTCCTCACTAATTCATATGCCCGGTCTTAGCGACCATTCTTTATTGCATTTCATGTTAGATATCCCTAAATGTTCCAACCCAAAGCAAATTAAGAAAATATATAATTATGCGAGGGCTGATTTTGAATCTATAAATAACGAATTATGCCTCTTTCTAGATAAATATACACATGGCTTTGAGGAGCGCTCTGTTGAAAATAACTGGAATCTATTCAAAAGAAAGGTTGCGTCACTTATGAGTGCTCATGTGCCCCTTCGAAGCATATCTCTGTCACCCCAGTCACCATGGTATAGTACGACTTTAAAGAGGTTGTCAAATAAAAAGAAAAGGCTATTTCGTTCTGCTAAAATGTCGAACGATGATCAACGCTGGGCAGTATATCATCTTGCTGCCGCGGAGTACAAAAAAGCAGTGGAGGAGGCGAAAGCCACTTTTTTCAACAGTACACTACCATTCATGCTAATTAATAATCCCAGGCAATTTTGGAAAGTTATTAGCCCCAGTCACAGTCAGGACGTAACGCTCAGGGATAATGACGGAGTTGAAGTTCAAGGTGATTTGTGCTCTTTTGTATTGAATGATGAGTTTGCTAAATCCTTTTCACTACCTATTACCTCTGACCATCCGGTTCTCCCAGTTTGTGAGTATCTGCAAATGAATCCAGTCATTGTTGATTGCGAGGGTATTGCGAATATTATTGAAACCCTAAAAATATCAACTTCAGCAGGCATCGATAATATTAATACAAAGTTTTTGAAAAATACTAAAATGTATTCAAGCATCATCTTATCAAAACTGTTTACCCAATCACTTGAACAACAGATACTACCTAGAGACTGGAAGGTGGGGAGGGTGATTCCTCTCCACAAAGGCGGTGATAAACATAATCCTTTGAATTTCCGTCCGATCTCCTTAACAAGCATCCCATGCAAAATACTTGAGCACGTAATATATTCCAATCTTATTAACTTTCTGGACTCGAACTCTTTTTTTCACCCAGCACAGCATGGTTTTCGAAAATTCTATTCATGTGAAACACAACTCCTAACTTTTACCCATGACCTTCACGTCGTTCTCGACCGGGGTTCCAGGACAGACTGCATATTCCTTGACTTCTCCAAAGCCTTCGATAAAGTGCCCCATGTACTCCTTCTCCATAAACTTCGTAACTTAAACATAGATAACAACATACTCAATTGGATAGAATCGTTCTTAACAAATCGTTTTCAATTTGTTTGCGCCAACGGAACTAACTCATCATTATCAAGTGTTAACTCTGGTGTTCCTCAAGGTTCTGTGCTCGGTCCACTACTATTTCTTATTTATATTAACGATCTTCCTACGCGTGTTTCCTCTTCCATCAGCTTGTACGCTGACGACTGTGTCATTTATAAAGAAATTATTAACGATTCTGACATTTCTGTTCTTCAAACTGATATAAACAACGTCACACAATGGTGCTCAGAATGGCTTATGGAACTCAACACATCTAAATGTAGATCTATGAGAGTGTCCAGGCATAATAACACTTGTCCATCCTACAACATCATTAACTCCCCCCTACTTTCTGTTACTTCCTATAAATATCTTGGTGTGCATCTAACCAATGACCTTTCCTGGAATTTACATGTCGAATATGTCACTAATAGCGCTAATCGCTTACTAGGTTACCTTAAAAGAAACCTTTCGCTTACTCCTGTTTCATTAAAGCTTCTAATCTATAAGACTTTAGTCCGTACTAAACTGGAATATGCAGCCTCTATCTGGGACCCCGGTATCACCCTTTCATCCGCTGTTGAGTCCATACAAAATCGTTCCGCTCGTTTCATCCTCTCGAACTATCATCGCACATCCAGCGTCACATCTATGAAAGCATCCCTTTCCTTGCCTAACCTCTCTCTTCGCAGGAAAATATCCCGGCTTTGTCTTTTTCAGAAGATTTTTCACTCTAATCCAACACTTCGTCAAACATTATTCTTAGAACCATCTTACATTTCGCTACGAACTAATCACCATCTAAAAGTGGGCGTCCCCCAGTGTAACACCTCATCTTTCAATGCCTCCTTTCTCCCTCAGACCTCAATAGATTGGAATCGACTTCCTGCACCCATAGTCTCGATAACTGATGCTACTGATTTTAAAATTGCCATTACTAAGTTTTTTGATGTTCAATAACTTTTGTTTTATGTCTTGCCTTATGTATCGTTATACTCATATGTTTCCGTTTGAAAAAACCCACTCCTCTCTGTAATGCCTTCGGGCCCTGAGAGAACAATAAATGAAATGAAATGAAACTAGTAACTGCATCTCAAGAGCCTCTACGCACAAACTACCGGTGGTGGGCGCGCCACGCTCTTGTCACAACTTTGTAGTTTTCAAAGAACATCTTACGGTTTCTTTTCATAAAAGTAAAATCAAGAGATCAGGCATGTCCGATTATAGTAGCTCACCGCTCGAGACAAACTGCGCGTAGCAAGCTCCGCACATCTCGTCGTCGCTCAGCAGCGACTGAGATTAAGGCATTAGCGGGTGGCGGGCTGGCAGGCGCACTCGCCTACCTTTCTGCACAGCCGTGCTCGCCACCCAACATCACATTTTCGTATGCAAAGAATTATTGTTGTTATTATTAATATTATAATTATTATTTTTACCCATCACACATTCACGCCTAAGCAAGAAGCCTTAACATAACAAGGCACGTTTTGTGTTTCTTATTTAGTGAATGCCTATAATGCACCCGATATTTTCCTCATATTGTTTTTGTAGAACTTGTCACGAGGTTAGGCGCGAAGAGGGGTGCGGTGGCATAAAATCAGGTAGTATTCGGATTTGTGGGTCCACCGAGAGTTTCGAGTAGATATGTTACGATACCCAGGGTACTCTGCTGTAATAAAAAACGTGCGCGATATCAAATCCTACTTACCGCGTTCAATGTGCGACACAGATATTTTATCATTTCCTCATCGTTCACGAAGTCCTTTGAGAATACTTTGTCAACCAATAAAAATAATTCGGGGTATCCTATTTTTGCCTTCTTGGCATCTGTGAAAGCAAACATGTTCGATTAATTCATTATCGAGCCTATGCTTATATATATATATATATATATATATATATATATATATATATATATATATATATATATAAACGTTCAACGAAGGACTTCAAATATAGGTACTATATACCACCACTAACACTGACAGGGTGATGGAAACTACACCCCTCCCCTATTGGACCAGTCAACCTTCGTTTTTGCGCCACTTGGTCATGCTCTTGGCTCATAGGCAGACGCCGGGAGCGAGCCAAGTAACGAAAATAGAGGCGATTCAGTGGTCCGGAGATTACGTTCCTTCCACCGACTTGTCAGCTTCCAGGTGTACAGAATGCAATACCTGTTCACCGTTTGATTTGGTCGGCAGTTATTTACACACAGAGGCATGCCGACATTAAGCATTGTATGGCAAAAGGAAGCTCTCTCGAATTTTAAGAGAATCAAGCAACTGTTGAATTCCACCTAGGGCCGAGGCGATATGGAAATGCTACGTTAGGGTTCAATTAGAGCTTAAATTCTTTATTTTATACTTTTATTCGATTGAAAGCCAAATATGTCAACATTTATTTACGCTGTAGGAGACAGATAAAAAAAACTTTTACCTTTTTTCTTTGCTTGTTCTGTAATGTTGTGATCACGTCTTTCAGGCATTACTGAAACAATGAGGTTAAAGTTATTTTAATGACTCGCGCCTCAATCACAACCCGTTGTTAAAAGCTTTTGGTTTCGTTCACACTTACAGCTATCTGAAAACAAGACTACCATGGCATTTAAACAATTCAATCATAAATATGACCTACTCATACTTAATGAAAAAGACAATTTTCCGATTGTGTTTATTGAGCTCGATGAAACCTCCATGTTTATAATATAAAAAAAAATAAACTAAGTTCAACCTATCTAGTACAGGTTCTTTTGGTTTCTGAGTTTTTATAATGTACCAACTTTTAGCACGTTTTATATTCCAATAGAACCAAACACGAACATTGATTCACGAGCGCGAATAGTTCCACTACTATTTGCTCTTTCCAATGCTCAAGAGTCAAACAATAGGAAGATAATGCCCATAAGCCTTTTTGTTTTACACAGAGTATACATTACAAAGAGAATTCTAATTGCCATTTTGTGGTCCAAGGTTTGCAATCTTTATAAACGAAAAGAGCCATAGTAAGTGGCTTTGTCTATCTGTTTTCACAATATCTTTAGCTGCGCCACCATTACCATAGTCCCAAATTAAAAGACAGCTTCGCTTCATTTTTGTTTTTTAAAATACAAAGCGGTTCTTCTCAGCTTATGAAGGAACACCGGATTTCAGATATTACGACCTAGATCTATCTAAATGTTTCTTAAATGGTCCAGCAAACTTTCGAACGCGCCAAGTTGCTGAAATCGGCTGACTCTAGCGGGCGAATGAAGGAGCAACCAACAGCGCGGTCAGGGTTACGGCGTTGGCGTTGCCAACCTTGAGCTGAACGTCATCACCACTGCCCCTCTTTGTTGGTTTTTACTTATCGGGCAAGCGCGATGGGTCACTTCAGCAACGTTTCCTCTCGGCGCTCGGCGGTGTTACGTCATTGGCGTAACGCGCCTGCGCAGTGCGCTTCTTGGGAGCCGTCCGGCCGTGCCACCGACGTCATAGTCTCACCATTTGTGCTTGTTGTCTCTTGGAGGTTTGTTCACACTGTGTGCACAGACTGATGTGGCAGTTGCGCAGACTTCGACAAATGACGTAGTCACCAAAACGCCCTGAAGCGTGCGGTGCAGACGACACTTGCGCCTGGCACGCGACCGACCCGATCCGGCGCTTCGTTGCGTAAGGGATCACGTGACATCTAGTACCACGTGATAACCGTGTTGTTGGTGACCCGAGGCCATTGTAGAGGGACGGAGCTGAAGTTTAGGTTTCGATGTCTGGTCATGTTTAAAGTAAGATTTAACAATATATATTTCATTATTCGCGAAGTATATGACGTAGTGCCTTTTATTAGTTCTTTTAAGTGTGAAATCACTCATTTTCCAAATATTTTCGGAATTTAGCGGAGTTGCTTTTTAAAATGCGTAGGATGTGGCGCGTCCTATTTACACTATTAACACTATGAAGCCAATGAGTTTGCCGTGTTTGGTGATAAGAACAGATAAACACGAATCAGGAAGCCAAGGGCGTGAACATATTAAACCACTCACTGCACTTCACGAGATGACAGTGACTGTAGATTGCGGCTGTTTGCGACTGCCTTTGACGTCACTGATAGAGTCAAGTGAATACCCGTATCTCTCTGATTATCGTCATCAGCGAATTAAAACACCACCTGTCTTGCTCACAGCGGCCGCTCTCTGAACTACAGTTGCAGGGATGCGCCACAGGCGTCCCCGCGAATGGTGCTGCGACGGGAAGCTGATGACTACCTAGTATGGAAGAGCGCTGGCACCCGTGTCGCGTTTAATGTGTGCGATTGGAGTTGATCTTGTCGTGTTGAATGGTGTTCTGAATAGATAGGTTTCACGAAATACTGCTCAAACCTGGAATGTTTCGCTCCAGTTCAGGTGAGCGACTTAATGTTTATAGACTTGTATAGGGGTGTGTGAGAAGTGATTTTTGAAATCGTATCGAAAACGAATCGAATTATTGTGGCACCGACGTCAATACGAATACGATTAAAATAACTTTCAAATGGTTTTCGAAACGTAAGTAAATAGCTACCAAATAAGAGTACAAATTTTCAAATTAGTTTATGGTTCCAGAATGCTCCTTAAAATTACGAAAATAAAAAGCACGAAAGACAAGGACTAGAGGGAGACTACACAGGACAAGCGCTTACTCGCAACTGACGTTTTAATTCGGAAGATGAGGAAGACGAAGATATATTATTAAAAGACCCTAACAATAAAAGATTACAAATATTTGTGAGAAAAGACCGAAAGGATCTGATAAGACTGATCATTTCGCTCATTTCTCATAAATATTTGTAACTTTTAATATTAGGGTCTTTAATGTCTTCGTTTCCCTCATCTTCCGAATTCAAACGTCAGTTGCGAGTAAGCGCTTGTCCTGTGTAGTCTCTCTCTTGACCTTGTCTTTCGTGCTTTTTATTTTCGTAATGTTTAACCAACTAGGCCGACAAATTATTTTGCTCCTCCTTAAAATCCTTGTAGAAGTGCAAGACTAGACTATAATGACTAGAGTTCAAACATATATCATTAAAGAGAGACAAAAACTACTAAAACGTTAGAATGCTAAACAAAATATCACAGTCCACGCGGATGCTGAACATAAAATCACAGTTTGCACGGAACTTAACAAAAGGAATCTTACACCTTATCAGATTCCTTCCCTCGACCCATAGGTGAGGGAACGGAGACAGTACACAAGACATCTTATTTTCACAGATAAGAACATAAAAAGGCTTGTTACGTCCGATTAAAATAGTTATAATTCCCATGCAAAAAAAATGGAAAGAAGCTTTTTTTTTACATGTTTTTTAGTAAGAAAGTTTCGTCGGCTTGTCACAGTGTTTGAGCACGTTGAAAACTATCTCTCGCTTGCAAACCGGGTCGCAGGAATCGCCAGGTGTGCGCCGCACGTGCAAGAGACTTATACATTTCTTTGCCTACAGTTTGCCACCAGCGGATAGGGCTGTCAGTACGTGGCAAAACTGAAGTCTGAAGTTAGTCGTAGACCTCTTGCGTTAGACAACTTGGTGCATCATTCTTCCTTGACAACGCCACGCTGTTCGATATCTTCCACACTCAAGGCTGCTCACTGGTTTGAGGTTGCTTTCCGGCACAACTTTCTGTAGACGTGAGCTGTGTTGAGTCTGGTACATCCTGAAGCATTGTACTTACTAGGAACTCTACATTCTGCTTTTGTTCTTGTTGTATCAGATGTCCTTGAGTCGACGATCAAGGAAGGTGGCAAGGACACAAGGCGCCTGTGCGATTCCCTCCAGGAACCTTGTTTTCACTGATCTAAGTTCAACTTGTGCCTCAGAAAGCAACATATTAACACAGTGAACAGCTGGAACAACCATGGAAAGTCTTGGAAAAGAATCGGCAAAAGCAGCCGTTGTGGCTCCTACAATTGGTTGCAGCATTGACACACAGGCTGATCCAAGACACAATTCGTCAGCGGCGGAGTTCTCATCGGTATCGGTTTCTGCCAGGTCTAACGCAACAGCGGCCTTGAGCTTCAGCAGGCGTGCCAACATGGCGTACTCACTATTCCATCTTGTGAGTACATCTTGTACCAGCTCAAGAGGAACTTCTATGTCCATCCTCATTTGAATATCCTGCAGTCCTGCCCTTTCACTGCTGCTCCGTTTGCAGTGCCCCCTTGTGGCTCGCGGTTCGGTGCACACGTTTGCGAACCCCTTGGTTTCTTTCTTAGAATCTTAAAGGCAAAAGTGCAAAGTATGTGCAAACACGCAGTGTCCACTCACGGCGTTTGGACAATCGCAGAAACGAAGTTCTGAGCTTTATCACTACACTGCAAAAAAGTATGAGAGGCATGCCCCACTCCTCAAAGTCGTCCTCGATCAGAGAACGCAGATTCCCCGCTGCACGTATGCAACCGCACGCAAGCACAGAGCTGTAAGGTACGAATCAAGCCCTCACTCAGCCCATGGCACGTTCCTGACACATAACTGTCACCAGCTCGTTACGTCCAGCTGTCAGTGGTGATGGCGACACACCCCAGGTCCTTCCTAGGAAGGCTGTGCAACAAAGTGCGGTGAGAATACCTAACAGCATTGTACATTTCCGGCACGACGGTCCTCAACAACGTTGCTCGAGAAGGAACATTTTACTCGAGCATTGCGCCTTCCTCAGTTCCAAAAAAGCTGGTTCTTCTACGACTGTGTAGCTTACTAGATACTAACGCTCAATAGTGAATTTGGGATATAAGTGCTAAGATACAGACCGCAGTCATTATGAAGGCCTTCGTATGAGTCGGGGATCTCATGAAGCCAATGGGCAACGCGGCCATCTGATGACCGTTTCTGCGCAAGCGCCGGCATTACTCTTAACTTATTTCCAATCATTCCTTCCTGAAAAAAATGCATGCAAAGACTAATTTTAATAACGCTTTTCCAGTGGAAGAAATTATGGCTCCAGGTTTAGAGTTTGTCACTTTATGGTACAAAATATAACTTAAAGCTGATTAAGCACGTTGTTGTTTTTGTTGTTCTTTTTTTTTTTGGGGGGGGGGGGGGATTGAAGCAACAAGTTGCTTTGGCTTGTTATGGAATACGACTTTCTAGCAGCACATTGGGACGGACAAAACTTTGATAAAATGCATATGGTAGATGTGAATTCAGCACTGTTTTACGGTTGACATATGGGGAGAAAACAGAAAACGAACATTTTCAGTAGCGAAACATGAGTCTATCCCTGTTGGAAAATCTCGATGATGGAAAGATGACGGAAAAGGCTCATACAAGCGTAACCGTAATATGGGACATCCTATACAAGCGAAAAAGGCGGCTCCAGTATAGTGGAATAAGGCGGAACGATACAGGTGGGCGGAACCATACAAGCGTGTCGTATTATGGGACATCCTATACCAGCGTAGTGGATATAGGCGGAACCATGTAGGCGGACGGAACCATACATGCATAACGTAATATGGGACATCCTATACCAGCAAAAAGGCGATACCAGCATGGTGGAGCCATATGGCTCCAGCGTGTTGGTTTCGCCTTTTCACTGTTGTACAGGGCGATTTAGTTTCAAGCTTTACATATATGTTTAGAAAGGTCGTGAAAGCTATATTAATGCGGTTTGTGCAGGCGAGTTATACGGCCAGGCGTACGTAGTATAGGGACCTAGTCGTAACGATCAGTCAGATAATTAAATACAATTTGTTAATCAACTTTTTAATTAGTGAAAATGAAAATATGGTTTCAATTAGAAACTTGCTGAGTCATTGAAAACCACAAAATCAAGTTTTTTTTAGAAGGATATAATTCAGGGGTAGCGTTTTATGCATTCTGTAAAAAGCTTTATTTGGACGAGTTTCTAGGTTTCAGTTTCTTATCAGAGCTCATCTCTGCGCCCACGGTCCTGTTCCCCAGGGGCATAGGCACGCAACACACATGCGCCTTGCTTCCCTTCATCCTACGAGGGAGGCGAGGGGGCGGCTTCGCACTGCGGTCACCGGGCAGCTGGACCGCAGGTGCAAAGATGCGCTCTGGTAAGAAACCGAAGTCTGGAAATGCGTCCAAATTGACCATTTTTTTATAACGCCATATAATGCTACTCGTCTATCTTTACAAAGAAAATTGATTTAGTGTGTTTTGATGATGCTTAGCAGGTTTCTAATTGGAACCATGGGTCTATTTTCACTGATTAAAAATTTCACGAACTTACTATACTTAGAGAGAGGCTGAAGCAGTTTTGTATTTGAGAAAACACTTTTAAATCTTCTTCATTCGACCTCGAGAATCTCAAATATCAAAATTATTTGCTAATTTAATTAATCAAGGCTGCATAGTAATTTTTAAAGCGCTGTGAAAGCACCTCCCTAGAGAGCGACGTCACAACAGCAGCTTTCAAAATCTTTGTTCACGCATCTTCAGCGCCTATCAAAGCTATGCACGCACATGCTATTTTTTAAAAGGGCAGAAAAATGTGTCACGACTGGTGCCAGTGCCGGAGAATATACCTAGAAAACTTGCGATTGGACGCGCGGCCCTTAAGCGACACACGCTTGGCGGCCGAAAGGTCTTCTTACGATGTCACTGTTGGTGGGATGTTTTTTGTGTTTTCTCACGTTTAGTTATATCTTTGAGGAAAACGAACGGGATATTCAGATTCGCGGGATAAAACTACGCTAGAATGAACCTCCATCTAGTTTTCTGAAAGAAGTCTGGCATATCTCTGTAATAAGCCGACGGATCATTACAAATTAGCCTTTTATACTATGCCGCCCTGGCCATATAACTCATGTGCACAGACCGCGTAAATGTAGCTTTTACGGCTTTTTTTTTTAAAAATCTGTAAAACATAGAAAAAAAACTCTGTAGAATGTCCCCCAATACGATACGATTGTATGGTTCCTTCCCCGCTTGCATTGTTCAAGAAAGACTTGTGGACATCCAGCGTTTCATTGGAATGCTGGATGTCAGCGAGTCTCTACATCAATGAGTGGTTTCAAACAAGCATGGTGTTTGCACACCAGTAAGCTCTTATCCGAGGCTCACCAGGACCACTAAGAGCAGAGGCGAAATGTCGTGACCTGGTAAATTTGGTTGCAGGTATTTATTTTTACAAGAACTGCATGCAGCAAAGCTTAACTTTGCTTAAAAGAAGATTATTAAAAATTCAATACTGAACAATGGTGTCCCTTGAGCTGTCAGACCAAACTCCCACTCTTGCCACTCAGGAGTTCCTAACTTGTGCGTAGAGGATCAGCACAACCCAGATTTGTGCTGTGAGCGCACCTGCAATATAAAAGTTGAATAAACATGAGATGAAATATGAGACGTTTACAATTCTCTGTAACGTGAAATTAGAGCACAGATCTTGAAGAGGAGGATGGGAAGGTATGCCCCTCCTCCCCCTCCCCTCCTCCTCTTCTGCTCCCTCCCATTTAGCAGGAAACTTCCCTGAATTTAGCGGGAAAATTTCCCCACTAAATTTAGCTGGTTAAGTTTCCCACTAAATTTAGCGCAGAAATTGATGTCACATGACCTCAACACAATGCAGTTTTTCCGCTAAAAGTAGCGGGGAAAATGACGTCGCATGACCGTGTCACGTCATCCATAAAAAAATTCAGTTTCTCAGCTAGACTTAGCGGAAATATTAACGTCACATGACCACAACGTTAATTCAATTTCCTGCCAAGTTTAGTTGGGTGGTTACGCCGACAGCGACGCCGCGAAACGCGGAAACGGGTGCTAAGAGCTGCGCTAAAAACTAAATGCATCAGGTGAAATAAAGTGAACATTAGAGATACTGTAAGAAAAAGAAGAGAATCTAAGATACCGTTCTCAGATCCTTCCTTTTGTCCGTTCTCAAATGTCTTGATTTCAAGAAATGTTCATCTCTTTATTCATACCCAGGGAACCCCTCCCAGTTTCAGCATGAATGCAATAAATCAATGCAGACTAGACCTTGTAAACTATAATCCACATGAAAATTAATGTTTGCCACATAGTCATGTATGAGTCAGTGGCTCAGATCTCTAAATACATTTGTATTGAGGAACATTCTTGAATAAAACTTCTGGGCTTCGAATTCAACAGTTTGTACTTCCATAAGGAACACTGTATGGCACTGATTTTTTTTTTTGTGACACATCAGAAACAGCACAGCACTGTCATCCTCGCATACCTAACAAGAATTTGTATTTTTTTTAGCATGGCATGTGCTATTCTAATGCCCATACAGCATCCTTTAACAAAATTTCCTTTGTAGAGCTTTTTATTGGTTCTTATTTAGCTCGCACGACAGATTCGGTACCTTGAATTCTCACTCGGCATCAACAGTTTTATATATTAATGTAATAGCGAAAGACAAGATGTATGGACTTGAGTACGGCTCAGCAAGCACAGATGTTGAGAAAAGTACTGAAGAAAACTCAAATGTGAAAATAAAAATAAGCTGGAATGTGGAATTATGGACATGGACATGAATACAGTTAGCAGATTCAATATGAAGAATATGTGTTAGACGCACGCTCAAAGAAACCTGTTGCATCTATATTCATTCAAATTACTTTGCAGAACCCAGCACTGCAGTCTCAGGTGGGAGTTCGCTGAATGAGTCTACTGAAAATGAGTGTAGACGGAAAAAGCAGTTTGATCTGCGATAATGAACATTACATAAGTGACATGTCATTATTACTGTTACAGTGCCGAATGTTCCAAACTGTCAGTCGCATCATTCTGTGAGTTCCCTCCGTACATTACAGGGTTTGGCTCTCTCGAATGCTTTGCGAGAAAAATGATGAACTGGAAATATCTAGAGTAGTTCTAGAAAAACTATTTCCAGAATCTTATCTCAGCATCGCAAAGAATATAAAAAGTTTCTAAAGACAAGGTTAGTGCAGGAGTTGAATAAACTAAATACTTTGTTTTTCGAAACCATCTTGCCGTAGTAAACGTATGAAGTTCCCCTAGGTAGAGCTAGTCATTACGGATGATTGTGCCCATTGCGTACCATAAAAATTTAATTTGCGACCTACAATATTTACAAACTCAATTAACTCTGAATAAGTGGACCACTTGGCATTAAAGATTGGCCTCACCATGACTGTCTGCCAACATCTACATAATAATTTCCATGAACCTATGTATTTCAAGAAAATATTTGGTGCGAGCTGCTTAAAACACAATAGCACTTTTTAGCAAGTGCTGATTGTTGGGCAAGTTGGTACGGTACGTTAGAAAACATGATTGTGCTTTGAAGACGGGGACATAGGAAGGACAGACACCACAGAGTGCTAACTTTCAACTGATTTAATTCAAGAACCTCGGCGTAGAAACACACTGCGTCACCGCACCACATCTCAACCAATCCGTGGCCCTGCCACGGACCGCAAGTACGCCAACTCCTTATCCGCCAAGTCAATTGACGCCACACTGACACAACACGTGCCGGAACTATTTATAGCATCAGCCTCCATAATCTCTCTAACAGTCATATCTTTGTGCCTAGCAAGAACAGTAGACTGAGCAAATAATGGTTTGCACTCGCAGTCATGATCTGTCGTGTCACTGTCATGACTGCGGGTGCAAACCATTATTTGCTTCGTCTATTGTTCTTGAGAGGCACAAAGATAGGACTGTTAGCGAGATTATGGAGGCTGACACTATAAATAGTTCCGGCACAAGTTGTGTCAGTGTGGCGTCAATTGACTTGGCGGATAAGGAGTTGGCGTACTTGCTGTCCGTGGCAGGGCCACGGATTGGTTGAGATGTGGTGCGGTGACACAGTCCGTTTCTACGCTGAGGTTCTTGAATTAAATCACTTGAAAGTTAGCGCTCTGTTTGTCTGTCCTTCCTATGTCCCCGTCTTCCAAGCGCAATCATATTTTCTACCGCAC